TATTAATGAGGCCTTTGCTGCAGTAACAGCCTCTACTCTTCTGGAAAGGCATCTAGATGTTGAACATTGCTGTGAGGATTTGATTGAGCATTAGTGAGGTCAGGTACTGATGTTGGATGGTCAGTTCTGGATCAATAATCATCCCAAAGGTACTGGATGGAGCTCCATCACTCCAGAGAACACAGTTCCACTGCTCCACAGCCCAATGCTGGGGGGCTTTATACCCCTCAAGCCCATGCTTGGCGTTGGACATGGAGACCTTAGGATCATGTGCAGTTGTTCAGAGTGTCCCATTTTATTGGTCAGTGCTTTTCTATGGAGATTATTATTGACAGCAAACCACATATTCCGTTGTTTTTAAACCGAGCAGTGATGCTCCAGTTTTCCCAACTTTTACTCTCATCTGGCTTCAAATAACGAGATTTTCATTACAGAAAAACTTTCAGTCTGATGGACAGAATGAAGCGCTACGTGCAGTAAATGCAGCATTTAAAGAAAAGAGACAAAACAGATTGAAACTGCTGGTTAGCATGTAGTTCAGATAGCAAGTATGCCAGCTAACGCACTAGATATTATAGGCAAGTTTAATCATATAGCGCCTTTCAAACACTGCTGTCATTCAAAGTGCTTTACAGATGAGAAAAGTTCAGAAAAGTAAACGCAAATAGAAAAAAATAATTGAAAACAACATTAAAAACATAATTAAAACATGATTACAACAGTAAATTTAAAAGAGAAAATCATTAAATTAATATATATATATATATATATATATATATATATATATATATATATATATAACAAAACCATTGATGCTCTAATGCTTTATTAGCTGGTTGGCTAATCTAGCTGAGCTAAGATACAGATCATGTTTCTTTACTTACTAATGTTTCAGTGAGGTTAGTTATGTTGCTAGCTAACTCACATGCTATATAAACTACAGACTAGCTAATAATTTTATTTTGTCTCTTTCCTTTAAAGGTGCAGTGTGTGAAATTTAGTGGCATCTAGTGGTGAGGTTGTAGATTGCAGCCAACTGAATCACCATCCCTCACCCCTCACTGTCCAAGTGTGTGGTAGAGCCTACAGTGGCCACCAGGTTTTCTGCCATCGTCTGTTTTCTCTTCTTTGCCGGTGAGGATTCAACCTCACTAGGTGTGATCCTCCGTGGGTTCTCAAACCTTTCACAGCACAAAATGGTTACCAGCACCAGCACCAGCACCAGCCACTGATTCTTCTTCTTTCTACGTCTTTCAGCCGGAGCTACAGCACCACCAAATTCAAGCTGCTGCTTCACCATAAAAGCACAAGAGGCGCCCTCTACAGTCAGTGTTTGGTTTGTTCGTTCTGGGCTACTGCAGAAACACGGAGGCACAACATGATGGCCTCTGCTGAAGAGGAGCCGCTCACTATGTAGATATATGAAGGGCTCGTTCTGAGATAACAAGATAATAATTTAAACACTATATTTAATTGAAAATAGTACAAAGACAACATATCAAATGTTGAAACTGAAAAGATTTTGTTTTTTGAAGAATATATGCCCATTTTGAATTTGATGCCAGCAACGCGTTTCAAAAATGTTGGGATGGAGAAGGTGGCAGCGTTTCTGGATCCTATTTGGTTTATTCTTTGCATTTTAGAGTTTTCATTTGCATTTGTGGATGCAGTGATGAACTGATTTCACAGACAGTGGTTTTCAGAAGTGTTTCTGGGCCCATCCAGTGATTTCCACTACAGAATCATGTCTGTTTTTAATGCAGTGCTGTCTGAGGGCCCAAAGATCACAGCCAGCAAATACTGGTTTTTGGCCTTGTCCCTCACATACAGAGATTTCTCCAGATTCTCTGAATCTTTTAATGATATTATGTTCTGTAGATGATGAAAAGCAAAGGTTCTTTGCTATTTTATGTTGAGAAACGTTATTTTTGAACTGTTGCTCTATTTGATGGTGCAGTCTTTCTCAGAGTGGTGAACCCCTCCTCATCTTTACTCCTCTCATGTTACTGACCTGTTGTCAATTAACCTAATTAGTCAGGAGATGTTCCACCAGGCGTTTTGTTGTTGCCCCCGTCCCAGCTTTTTTGAAACATGTTGCTGGCAAACTCAAAACAGGCATATATTAAAAAAAAAAAAAACAATAAAATTTCTCACTTTCAACATTTGATGTGTTGTCTTTGTACCATTTTCAATACAATTCAGGGTTTAAATGATTTGCACATCATTGCATTTTGTTTTTATTTACATTTTGCAGACCGCAGAGTCACAACCTTTTTGGAAACAGGGTCGTATTAATGTGGCAATTAATCGTCAGCTATAATTTCATGATCTTGACAGTCCTTCAGAGCTTCTGTGTCAGCAATGGGTGCACCTTAAAGTAGAATCCATTAGGACTGTCCGGATACTTGCAGATAGACAGTGTAAAGGTAATATTGCCAACTCCACCAGAACTCAAATCAAGAGATCTTCAGGCTGCTTGTTAAGGACAGGACTCGAAGCTAAAAACAGAAAGAAGACATCCTGCCAAGCCTGAAGCGAACAGCCCACCTAAGGAGGTAGGAGTTAAGTGTAATCTCACTCAGCAAGGCCTCCAGAGCCTCGCAGAAAATCATTCACATTAAGACTGACATTTCCTATCTGACACTTGCCTCCCACTGAAAAAACTCCCTGGAACTGGGACTTTCTCTTTTCCCCTCTTGCTTTGGCTGCGACTGTGGTGTAATTTTAGTCAGAGTACAGTACGCAGCACACAAAGGCTCGAGGATGTTAATGTGAAGGATTCAAACGTTCACGCTGTCGCATTAGAGAACATTTCTTTAATACTTAGATGGCAATCAGGCATCTACGCAGGGCTCGAAACAGCTGGCAACAGGGCTGGATATCTGATACTTTTATAGTACCAACCAGATTACTAAATACTACTGAGTAAACACTGTCTTTATTATTTATTAAATACTTATTCATTTAAAGGTGCAGTATACAATTTCAGTCCAATACACTTTTTGTTAAGTTGAGCTAATATCTCCTCACAGTCCACCGGCTCTCCGTTCTGTGTGCTGGATTTGTAAACGGGAAACAAAGCGCTTCGGACTGAACGACAAAACGCTATTCCAGCCAATCAGCAACAGGGGGCGCTCCTGCTTGTGCACAGGACAAGGGGAAGGGGGAGGGGCTACACGTTGAACTCCACACACTGCCAAGAAGGAGAGATGGCTGAGAAACAGCTAAAGAGGAGAAGATCTGAAGAACCAAGACTGAGACAGTAGCTCTTAGATCAGGTGAGGGCGTTGATGAGAGCTGAAGTTGTCTTCTTTTTCAGTTTCCCATTCTACCTTAAATTAAGGTGGAACGGGAAAATTTGAACAAGAAGCTGAGGCACCTGAATGTAACTGCTGCACCATTTAAGGTGGAACGGGAAAATTCAAACGAGACACTGAGGCCCCAGAATATAGCCTAACTCCTGCACCATTTAAGGTGGAACAGGAAAAATTCGAACAAGGAGCTGAGACGTCTGAACATAGCCTAACTGCTGAACCATTTAAGGTGGAACAGGCAAATTCGAACAAGAAGCTGAGGCCCCAGAATAAAACCTAACTGCTGCACCATTTAAGGTGGAACGGAAAAATTTGAACAAGAAGCTGGTGAAAAAGAAGAGTTGAAAGGCCTGAAAAGGGGTGAGGAGGCTGTTCTGTTTATGCTTGGCAGCTGCAACATTAACTTATTTCTGCTGTTTTACAGAATCAGTGGGTCAGTATTGTTTTGTCCTGTTTGCTAAAGTTTGCAATTTTAGCCTCAGTTTGCTAAGCCACAACTTTGCTAATGTTACATTACTTGCTGTGTCGTTGTTCGCTCTAATGTACAAATGTCAACAATCGTTCTCCAGAATCATATACTGCACCTTTAAGACACGGTCATTCAATACCAAATTTAATACCTAAGTGGTCAGAGCCAATAACCATGCTCGTACAGCTTACAGGACTGCATGTCGTTAACCGGTATTGAAGTCAACATCTGAACGATACCCAGCCCTAGTTGGTAATAGTCAATATATCTGGCCGGGTCTCATTTTTCAACTGTTTAGAATGTTTAAAATCTGTGAACATGCACTGCAAAATAGGCCTGGGCAATATAAAATAAATCAGCACATTTTCTTGTTAAAAAAAAACATAACTGATCGTGACTGGTTCTTCTCTTTAAAATCGCTCACACAAAGTTTAGCACTGTTTACGTACTTCATCAAACTCTTATTTCCAAAAAAAGTGAGGAAATTTGAATTTGCTATGATTTGGGCTCTTGAACCCTGTTTTAACATCAGCGGCCGTATTACTGAAACATCTCAACTCTGAAATCTGATCTGTTTGGTCTCCATGACGACTTCAGTACTGACTGAATTTCGGACAGAAGCTATTACAGAATAACAGTTCCTACCTTCATAATCTCATCATGAACTCCAGATAAGAAAACAGCATCACACAAACATCCTAACTAGACTAAACCTCCTAAATCCTGTCCTAACTTTAGGATGAACCCCAACAGGGTCCTCACCTCTGTTTAAGGTCTGTTTCTATGGTTTTTAGGCAGCTGAGTCAGCAGCATAGTTCACTACCAGCATAATGAGCTCCATTTATTTCTACTGTAAAACGCTGCTTTCACTGTGAGATGATTTTCTTTTCTAACTCTGCGTTTTAAAGATCTCAGACGCTGCAGACTCGATCTCCACCGCCCCTCTGATCACCTTCGTGTGTTAATGTTGATGATGAAATATTACAGTGATGGTGGTGAATAATGAGGAGACGGAGCTGAACGTGTGTCTGTTTATTAGGAGGAGTAACGTTAGCGCGCTTGGCTAAAGCGTTTGGGAAATGGAGACTGGAACTGGGGAGCGGCGACGCTCTGATAAACAGGAGGGGGCGCTCTCACAGTATTCACCACTTACAGTTTATCACACTTCAGCTCTGTTTGAGCTTTTTTACATCAGTAACAGCAGCTTAACTCACATTTTAATATTATTTTGCTGACATGTTTACGTTTCAGCTGTGTGTGTATGGTCGGTTGCTACGCAACAGACATGAGAGTTTATTATTGACTTCAATTGAGTAGGTTAAGACTTATTAACTGGAGATAAGATGCTGTAACATCAGATAAATTCCTAAATTAAGATCAGATTTGCTTCTGTAATATAAATTTGTGAAAAATCTCATCTTGACCCGTCAGATCTTAACTTAGGACAAAAAGAGAGGACGTTTCTGTAATACAGCCGCTGTTCTCCTTCCTGAAATGGTGATTATCACTTTTGATGCATCGTCCCCATCACCCTATCGCCCAGGCCTACTGCAAAGGCAGCAGTGATCAAACATTGCATCATGTGCTTTCATAAGTAAAAGTCAGATTAAAAGGCCTGATTAAAAACAAACAGTCATCATAATTGGTAAATGCACATCAGTGCACTACTCAAAAACTGGCCTGCGCGTTTCAGATTCCCAGCTGGAGCTCTGAATTTAAAACTATACATGTAGCACTAATTTTTTAACATTCAAATCCTACTTATAGCTCTAAACAGGCAGGAAACACAGGTCTCAGATCAGATAATAGCGACTACAGTCCCTGCCTGGATGTTCTACTTCTATGTACAGCACTACGAGTGAGAATATAAAGTTACTACCTTGCCATCTACTGGTGGAAAGGTGTCATATCAAATTCTGAGTCCTGTCTGAGAACTTTCTATGCCAGAGCGCTGCAGCTCCAGGGCCTGAATCCAGCAGAAGGCTACACAGAACAAACCACAGTCCTAACGAACGTCATTTGGTTCAGCAGTCCGGTCCTAAGATTTCTAAACTAGTGTTTATTAAGGCAAAAAGAGTCTTTTTCCATCAGGAAGCGCTTTCCCATCAAAGGTCCATCAGCATCCGTGCTTTGAGGTGTTTGATTTTGAGGGAGTAGTACTCCTCCTGTAACTGTAACACGCGTTCCTGCCGGCGAAGAACCGATATCTCCAGGTCTCTCTTCTCTGCGGAGGGTGAGGGCGAGCAGGGGGGACTCATGGGAGCGTTTTCCAGCCTGCTCATGTCATTCGTGTGGTTGACGGGCAGCTCAATGTTTATGATGGGAGTGATCGCAGTTGGAACATACTTCATCTCCTCTTGCGGTTCTTCTTCAAAGGTTGTATTGTCTTCTTCAGTCCTGGAAAAGGGCAGAGACGGTTACACAGTGTCATTACAGCTCTGTTGTTTACAGTGGTGAATGGGGGTGCAGACCAAGGTTATTATTAACGAAAACTCGAACAAGAACAAAAATAAGCACAGGAAAAAAATGTACTTGTTACTGTCAATTTTTACAAACTCAGAATTACATTATCAAGAACGATTCATTGACGAATAATTTTGTAGCTGTAACTTTGACTGTGCTCTGATGGAGCTCGTCTCATCACCGTTACTGCAGACACAGCCCTGCAGGAGGACAAACACCAACAACACAGACCAGAATGACCACAAACACATGAACAGATATGAGGACGCTTTAGATACGAGGAGAAGATCAGCTGACTGGAGGATCCATATAACCTACATTTCTCCAGAACATTCCAGTGCATGATTTTTTTTCCCCCAATTTTCTGCCCAATTTAGTTGTGTCCAGTTCCACCCACTAGTTAGGACTCTCCCAATCACATGACACCACCAGCGCTAGGATAGTGAAAGCAAACACAGGCTTCCTCCGAGACCTGTGAAACTAACAGATGCGCTGAGTGATGGGGGAAAGGGAGGAGGGCATTTTACTCTTTCAACTGTGCTCTCTCGGACTCCCGGCCACGGATGGCTGTAGCATCACCAGGGATCGAACTCGCGATCTCCTGCTGACAGGGCTAACACCCCCCCAGTGTGTAATATTTTATAAAAACTAATAAAAGTGACCACCAAAACTGCTAAAGCTCTTAAATAATAAACTCTACCAAGCTGAAGTCAGCGTCTTATTCACCAGCTTCTCATTTTAATTTTCCATTCCACCTTAAATGGTGCTGCAGTTTCACTGAGGCAGCTAAACATAGAATGAATCAAGAAAGTTGGCGAATATAAAGCAACATCAGCTTAACTCAATAAACGCATTGACCTCAACAAATGTATCAGCTTACTTCAATAAATAGATTGATTTACCTCAATAAATACATTAATTTACCTTAATAAAAGCTCCTTAATCAACAAAGACCTCAAACTTTCTCTTGGAGGTGTTAAATGAGCTGTTGAACACGTCTCATTGGCTGATCTAAGGCCGCGTCCCAAACCACACACAGCAACAAATCAAATAAAATCAGGGCCAAACACTAAAATACATGAGTTAATATGCTTAAAAATGAGATTTAAAGTGTTTAAAAAACGTGTTTTACTCCCTTGCTGGGTCTATTACAGCTTTGTTATCTCATTATAAACAGCAATGCTGAATAAACTTGAAGTTGCCTACCAAAATGGTGGCAGTGCGACTGTGATGTCATCCGAATACGATCAATAGAAAGACTTTTATTTTACCCCTCTGGAAAAATATTGATGCAGCTATTCTATGAGGTGTTAAGCCAGCTAAGCCATTTAAACAACTGAGCTTAAGAACGTATGGGAGAGGGAACGGTGTGCTGCTATAAATGATGATGACTCGGAGAATTTCTGGAAATAAGTCAAGTCCACGTCTATATGCAAGTCTACAAAGGTGATTTAGTTCTGAATCATACAACGGACGCATATTTCACCCAGCTGAAGTAATACTTTAACAGTTCTGCCTCACCACTTCATCTGAAGTGTAAAGCTCAGAGAGGTTCTCTTACCCTGTTGTTTTGGGTCAGATATTTTCTTTTTTCTATCAGCTTTTCCATTTTAGATACGGCCATGAAATACCAGAATAATGACTAGAGTGAACAAATGGCTGTTTTAAATTTGTTTTTGTCACAAATGACTCGCGCTCATGTGAAAAATGAAATTGCAAATGTAGGTATTTTATTTTCATTTTTGGCAGGATATTTGCACAGATATTTGGAACGAGAAATGGCAAAAAGAGGTTTGCATTTACATTTTATTGTTTATTTTTAATTTCTTTTTTGGCCGGATTTGCCTCCCATAAATAAACACAATCCTCCCGTTTATATTTTCGAGGAGTCACTGACTGGTGATGTGGGAACTCACCGATAGGTGGCGCTAACAGAAAGATCCCAGATAGGGAGCATATATCGGTCCGCTGGCTTGATAAGGTCGACACCCCTTTTGACTGTTTGCCACTGCTGGTCCACCCTCGGACCACCCAGATTAGTGTCCTGCATACAAGCTCTAACTCGTTTTCAATCTCCTCTAACAGATTTTAATGCACAGAGACTTTTATTTTAGAAAACAAACTAAGACAAATAATACAAGCAACTGAGAGAGAGAAAATAATGACTAGGCCTGAAAAAAATGGACTTTATAGAAAACGAGACACTGAGCTGGATTAAAATTATTTACTAAACTAATTTACAAAGTACAACTAAAGAAACTAAGGAAGGAAAAATCAGTAAACTGGACTGTAAATGGAAAATGAGTGATGATAAGTGGAATTTTGTCTAATACTCTGCTTAACCACCAGTGGGCTGCCTGGAAAACACTGAGCAAAATGCCAATGGACCACCAGCTCTGCCATCAGCAGGCCCACTATCCTCTTCCTATCAGGGATGGGAAAAATCGGAGGCAGGAAAGTCTTTTAATGAAAGACGATGAAGAAAGTCTGGGAGAGGTGAGGAGTCCGAGACGTACCTGTCTTTAAAATCAGCCTCTTTTCTCTGTAGTTTGAGAATTTCAAGCACGACCTTAGTAACCGGACTGATGTGGCCTAGCAACAAATAACAGATGCATAAAATCAATTTCTAGTGTAGAAATTCAGAAAGGCCTTTTATTTTGAAATCACACTGCTGAACGGACACACAGCACTGTAAACACTGCTTCCTCACCTGTCTGTGATCTGTGGGTCAGCATCACCTCTTTGGCCTTGGCGAGCTCTACAAACCAGTGTCTCTCGCACTCCTTCCCCGTGCGGGGGACGTCAGGGTGGGCGGTGGAGATCTCCTCGGCTATCTCGTCCCACGCCCACCTCCGGTTGGTGGCGATCTCTCGACAGGAGTGTCTGCCGGTCAGCAGATCTTCTCTCCTCGCCTTCACCAGCTGCACCAGCAGCAGCTTCTGCTCTGTCGACCAGTTCGGCTTCCTCGGCCTCATTGGTGGCTTCGTGAAGTTCAGCTTTAAGGCAGATTGACAGCATAAAAACGATCAATAAACAACTAAATCACTAAACGATGTTACCCTCACCCGGCATATGGGTGAGGAGGGGCACGATCGAACATTTTCTGCTAAATAATTGTAAAATTAATTAAGCAAGACTGATCTTTTTTTTAATATAGCAAATTCTCTACCAGTAACGATTCACAAAATTCATAATTCGATTTTAATATTATTCAATTACATATTTTTTGATACAGCAAAAATAAGGAGTTGCTGAAAATCTGCATTATGTTGATATTATTGCATTCAACCTTATAAAAATACAATATTTTGTAATAATGTGTTAGCGATAAGCTAAGAGGTTAGCTCTGAGCTATTTTATTAATTTATTTTACTTTTTTTTTTTAATTTACATTTTTTTTTGTGCTCAAAATTTTAAAATGAAATAAGCAAGAGTAATCATTTCCCCTTCCAGCTACTAGGGCTGTAACGGTTCACAAAATTTATACTGGAGTTCGATACGATAGAGTTGTCTATCAATTAGATGTTTTTTGATAGAAGCAAAAAATACGTGGTTGAAAATCTGCCTCGTGTTAATGTTAAAGTTTCAAAATTTAGTATATTAGCATTAGTGCTGGACAATATGACAATATAATCATTATCATGATAAATTATGTCACAATACAATACGCTTTTCTGAACATATGGTGTGTATCATCAGTGCTTGTAGACACTGACCAACTGCATATTTCTTTATAAAGAAAGCAAAATTTGCCTGTTTAACTGGATTTAGTGCCAAATGTTGAATAAAAATCACGGTGTTCATAGTTTTTGATAGTATTTTTTAAAACTGTAGCACTGCTGGTTCGTTTTTCTCTGACCAGATATCTGAAAAAATAAATATCATGACATTGTGTATGGTAAAAATTTCTTGGAAGTATCACGATATTAGATTTTTGACGTATTGCAGACCTTTAATTAGTACAATATTTTATAATAATGCTTTAGCCATAAGCTAATAAATTAGACATGAGCTTTATTTTTAATTATACTTTATGAAATATAAACAGCATTATATGTAAAAACTGAGTACTTTATTTGCTCCAGTGTGTTGAAAGTGCCGTTTGATAGCTGTGTGCATTGAACTGAAATGTTCGCAATAAATAGTTCAACACGATATGTATATACTCCTACAACCAGCCTAGGGTTAAACAGATCAGGGCAAATTTAATTATGTTCTTTCTGATCAATATTGTGATGTTAATGCAATTATTTTGTACAAACTATCCTCCAGGCCTCATCTAGAAGACCAGCACATCTATTCTTCAGACTTAAACGCTGAACGTAGAGTGCCAGACTGCCAGTTCACAACCTCTGCATTATAAGTTACACTTCTAAGCGTTAACCGTATGTAACGTTTACCTGAAGCTGCAGCTCCTGAGATTTGAATACAGCTCTAAAGCAACCTACACATCTCTGCTGCAAATGAAAACATAAACTTTGTTTAGACCTCCTATCGTTTATAGACAATTCAGCTGAGAGTGATGCAAGTGCAAACGTTACGACTCGCCCAGTAGGCGGGGCTAATGAGTAACTGTAACACGCTGACTAAGTTGTAAGAGGAGCTAAAAAGTAAAAACAGATGAGCTTTCAAACTTAAATACACATAAAATATATTAATCAAAATAAACATAATTAGTAACAAGAGTGTGTCATGTATATTTATTTCTATACTTTCAAAGCAAATGTAATTTAGACCAGCAAATGTTAGACATTATACATTTATATGTATGTATGTAACTGTGTGAAATATCTTTGTGCTGCAGCATCAACATCACCCTTCACTGGAACTGAGGGGCCCAAACCCTGAAAAACAGCCCCAGCCCATCATCCCTCCTCCACCAAACTTTACTCTTGGCTCTGCATTCCGATAGGTAACGTTCTCCCGACATCCACCAAACCCAGATTCATCATCAGACTGACAGATAGAGAAGCTGATTCATCACTCCAGAAAACACATTTCCGAGTCCAGTGGCGGCGCTTTACACCACTCCAGCCAACACTTGGCATTGCGCATAGTGATCTTAGGCTTGTGTGCAGCTGCTCAGCCATGGAAACCCATTTCATGAAACACCTGATGCTCAGTTCTTGTGCTGATGTTGTTTCTAGAGGCAGTTTGGAGCTCTGTAGTGACTGATGCAACAGAGGATCTGTGATTTTTACATGCTGTGTATTTCAGCACTCAGCAGCCCCACTCTGTGCTCCTCAACTCTTCCATTTCACAACAGTAGCACTCACTGTTGGCTGGGCAGGTCTAGCAGGTCAGAAATTTGTGGCAGAGGTGACAGTGCCACGTTTAGCCACCGAGCTCTTCAGTACAATCCATTCTACTGCCAGTGTTTCTCTATGGAGATTGATTTTATCTACCTGTTAGCAATGAGTGTGGTGAAACACCTAAACTCAATGATTAGGAGGAGCGTCCGTGTACTTTTGGCCATATAGTGTATACATTGGAAGCGACTAATCTACGACACTAATCTGTATGCAATGGAGCAAGCATGTATATCACCAATGTTCAAACAAAAAACCCAAATATCCCCAAAATAATAACTACATTAGTCAGTATAATAAGATTTTTTTTTTTTTATTTCAGACCATTTCTAAAGGTCCATTCATCGTGATATTTTGACACGATGTCACACTGCTGTGCTCAAACGATGCAGAAAAATAAAAAGTGTTTGTTTTTACGACAGCAATGAAGAATGAAAGGAATAATCCTAAAATGTAGTGACCACTGAGGCTTATGGCTGCATTTTTCCAACATTTACAAAAACAGCCTCAAATTTGTGCGTGTAAGTCTTTTAATTACATGTTTTTACTCACTAAAGATGTTAGGAACGGAGAAAAACAAACAATTACAGGTCAAATGCTTACATGAAAAAAATGCAATTCGAAGCACAGGGTCTCTGATGTCTCTGGGGATTAAGCATTCATGATTTTGATGATAGGAATCAGACAAAAAAAAACAAAAAAAACAAAAAAACAATCCAAGAACGAGGCTGAGGAGCTCAATCCCAATAATCCTAATCCTTGGTATGTCTTGAGTTGTTTTGTTGTTGTGCCTAACAGCATTTGCTGCTTTTAATAGTCACTAAAAAAGAAAGAAAAAGGAAAAGGTCCTACTAGTATTACTTTTCATCATTATTCAGTGCATTTTTATGCATTTATCCGGCCCATATTCCCATCTCAGCAGCTGCAGCCATGCAACCCAGCAGGATCTGCTCTGTTTTTAACAGTGCTCAGTAAAAGCTGAAATGAATGCATGTTAAAATCTAAAATATAGAACCCCTTTTCCTCTTCTATCCATCCTGCACTGTGATGAACAAGCCCAGACAGTCTCTTGGCAAAGGCCAGAGTGCCAGAGGGTATTAAAACGTGTCGGTGTTTGCGATAAGAATAACTCCTAGCAGGCTAAAATCAATACTAGGGTAACATCAGTTTTATGCTCTGTTTTCCAGCGTGCAAAAAAACTGCATACTCACCACCGGTACAGTTGATGTCCAGAGCAGATTAAAATGTTGCAAAACGGAGTTTTTTCGAGGTGATTAATTTTTTTCCAAGGCTGTATCCACACGGGAAGACGAGGGTGAAGTTGGCTTCTTATTCGCCAGCTTCTTATTCGAATTGTCCCGTTCCACCTTAAGTGGTGCCGCAGTTACTTCGCGGTGCCTGAGGCGCCAGGATGTAACTGCGGCACCGTTTAAGGTGGAACGGGACAGTTCGAATAAGAGGCTGGCGAATAAAGAAGCCAACTTCAGCTCCGTCACGGGAAGTGAAGCTTTACATTTTTAAAAAGACTTGTAGTCTCCTGTGAGTTTCGCCGAGCTAAGGAGCGAATGCGGAGCCGCTGGCGTAAAAACTACGTTTCCCATAATGCACCGTGGCGGGAGGGCGGGAGAGCGTCTTCCTCGCCGCGACAATGGCCGCTCCCTTAACGCTGGTGTTGGTTCTGGCTGTGACGATAAGAGCGGTGTTATTTCGGTCCAGCCTGGCTGAGCTGATCTCGGAGCGGGTCGAAGTCGTGTCCCCGCTGAATGCGTGGAAAAGAGGTGGGTTAGAAAGCCCTTCAGTGCTCGCTCGGCTTGCTGGGGGTCTTAGTTGTGGATGTAGCTGAGATGCTAACGCGGCTAGCTGTCAAAAACATTGTAGTTGTTGTTACAAACAACATTTTCTTTCGTTTAACTGTCAGCTGGCATCGAAACATCGATAGACCGTCAGAACATCTGTGTTTTATCTTGGTTTAGTGTTATAGTGGCCTGGGTGATATTGCACATTCAGTATCGCGATGTTTTCACAGTATCAGAGGATAATTACAGGGGGATTCCACCGGTTTTTCAACATTTTATGTAAACAGAGAGATTCAGAGTGGTTTGGTGTGAAACGGTTCAGATCTCTTTACAGTGGTGGTGATAGGAACCAGGGGTCGCCATGACAACAACACTGATATAGACATTTTATTTACTATCCAGAACCACCAGTGAACCTACACGAGTCTTCTGAGTTTATATGGAATGTTGATGATGGAAAATAGTGGAAAATCTGGAAAAATACTTTTTCAATGGGGACAGTTTTGCCTCACAACGTCCTAAATGCACAGCTCTGCCATGACTTTTAAAATGGCATGACATGGCTTTTAAAAATATGCTAACGAATCATTGCCTCACAGTCACATCAGGCAGTGAATTCATAACCACTTCCAGAGCTTTTAGAGGTGGACGTCTGGTTCCTGTCACCACCACTGTGAACAGTTCTCGGGTGCGCTTCACTAGAGTGGAGCGTTTCACACCAAACCACTCTAAATGGCTCTGTTTACATCTTAATCGATTAATTATGTACAAATATAATTAAAAAGTGGTGGAATTCTCCTTTGATCAGTCCATAATAGGTGCCCTTTACTGGCCTGTCTACAGCAGGTGCATTGTGTTCTGGTCCTGGAGGTCCAGTTTGATGATTTTTGCATTGTTGTCTAATACAACTTAACCTACCAAATAACTGAAGAGTTGAACCAGGTGTATTTGAGCAGGAAAGGCACTAAACAATGCTGAACTCCAGGACAGGAACTGATGGCTGTGATCTGCTGTGAGAACCAGAGAATGTGAAAAAAGGAAAAAAAAGCACTGCTGTAACATCCAACAATGTGATGGTCGAATAAGTTGTCTTATAAGATATCTAACACTAGGGCTGGAAAATTATAGCAATATTTATCAATATCATGATAAATTACATCACAGTACTTGTAGAAAACCAACCAAAAGCATGTTTCCTTGCAAAGAGAGAATAATTAGGATTTAGTGCAGTGCGTGAAACAAACGTTAAAGAAAAATAATGTGTGCTCAAAGATTTTGTATGTGTTTTGAAAATGTGGCACTACTGGCTCAATTTTGAAATTTGTCTTTTATTTTGATTTAATGTTATACTGGCCTGGGTGATATTACAATTTCAGGATCGCGATTGTTTCACTATACATCTTCATATATAGATAGCCTGTCCCAAAAAAATAGATATTTAAGCAGATTAGTTTTGTTGTGATGAAGAAAAAATGGAATCAAATGATATGATGCACATTGGACAGGCTAGTTTCTTTCTTTCAAGTTTTTTATTTGGTCTCATTCTTTTCATTAAAATGTTGTTTAATATATTGTTAGTAGTGTATTTACAAAAAAGGGGGATGGATGGACTGGTGGGATGGGGAGGGCAGGTTTGCTTCAGTTCTATAGTTTTGTGATAAAGCTGAGCTGTTTGATTAACAGAAAATAAAATTAAAAAATGATCACAAAAAAGAAAAATGAGATTTTGACATTGTGTATTGTGAATATTTCTTGAAGTTTTGTGACAATACGCACTGCATGGACAAGTATTGGGACACACCTTTTACTCATTGAATTCAGGTGTTTCTTTCAGTCTCATTGCCACAGGTGTATATAATCAAGCACCCAGCCATGCAGCCTGCCTTCACACACATCAGTGAAAGAATGGATCTAAAGAGTTAAAAAGTGGAAGCGTTTAGGAACCACAGTAACTCAGCCACGAAGTGTCAGACCACGCAAAGTTACAGAGCGGGTCGTCAAGTGCTGAGGAGCGTAGAGCATAAAAGTCTCCAGCGCTCTGCTGATCAATAACTGCAGAGTTCAAACCTCCTCTGGCATCAACATCAGCGCAAAATACTGCACCGGGAGCTTCATGGCAGGATTTCCATAGTCAAGCAGCTGCATGCAGGCCTTACATCACCAAACACAATGTCAAGCGTCAGCTGGAGTGGAGTAAAGCGCCGCCACTGGACTCTGGATCAGTGGAGACGTATTCTGTGGAGAGACGAATCAGCTTCTCTATCTGTCAGTCTGATGGACGAGTCTGGGTTTGGCGAATGCCAGGAGAACGTTACCTGCCTGACTGCACTGTGCCAGCTGTAGAGTTTGGTGGAGGAGGGATGATGATATGGGGCTGTTTTTCAGGGGTTGGTCTAGAACTCTTAGTTCCAGTGAAGGGGAATCTTAATGCTTCAGCACCAGGACATTTTGGACAATTGTACACTTCCAACTTTGTAGGAACAGTTTGGGGAAGAACCTTTCCTGTCCCAGCATGACTGAGCCCCAGTGCACAAAGCAGCTCCATAAAGGCCTGACTGGGTGAGTTTGGTGTGGAAGAACCTGACTGGCCCTCATAGAGCCCTGACCTCAACCCCATCAAACACCTTTAGGATTAACTAGAAAGGAGATTGTGAGTCAGACCCTCTCGTCCAGCATCAGTGTCTGACCTCACAAATGCTCTTCTGGATGAATGGACACAAATTCCCACAGACTCTCTCCAACATCTTGTAGAAGCTTCCCAGAAGAGTGGAAAGCTGTTAGAGCTGCAAATGGGACCAACTCCATATTAATGCCTATGGATTTAGAATGAGATTCATAAAAGCTCCTGTAGGTGTGATGTGTAGGTGTCCCAGTACTTTTGTCCATATAGTGTAAATGCCCGTCTATCATCATACCTAACAGTGATGTTTTGTTGCTCCTTCAGTTGTAGAAGGCCTTGCTCTGCTGGACCTCGGAGTCTCGCCCTACTCAGGAGATGTGTTTCATGAAGTGAGTACTGCAGTTCACTGATCTGTTGAGTGAAACATTTCAGCCATTTTATTATAAGGTTCTTCACGCATTTGTCTAATCCATCATCGCCCTGTGGAGGAGGCCGTTCCATATTTGAGCACAAAGGTTTTCCTGTTGGACGTTTCGTCCAGCAGTGAGTGCTGCTGTGGAATTGCTTTGAATCTGAGTTTCATTTCTTCTTGTAGTTGTGTTACGTGCTGTCTGTGGCTAGAATTAGCCCACATTTTTCACCATCTTGGTGGTTTATTTCACGGATGTAAATGAATAACCGATTAACAGTTAACCAACAAATAAACAAATTACCAATTAATAACAGCTCCTGTATGAGTAGATACATTTATCATTCAAGCTGAGGAGCATTTTGAAATTGTCCACACAGTGTTTCCACTGGTGACTCTCCTCTGTGGCGGCCCACTGTGCCTAAATCTTTGCCACCACACCAAAAAAAGATCAGTCAAACCAATCGATCATCTAATCCAACACCTTGGTGACTCATCTGGGAAGCCCAATTCCCGCCTGCTGTGCACGCATTACAGAATTCAGCTGGTTAACGGCACTAATAGACTGCGTTACGTTGTCATTTGCTCTTATAAAGCTCTAATAAAGGGAGATTACTGAGGTATCTTAGCTTCTGATTCATGGTTCCTTAGTAAACAAAATGCTTCTTTATAGAACCATGACCACTCAAAGAACCCTTTGCATGGTGAAATGGTTCTTCAGATTGATGGAGAATGTGTTGTATATGGTTCTATAAAGAACCAAACATTTTGCTATTGATATGTCAAGCTTGTAACATTAGAAGAACCCTTTTTGGTGCCATATAGACCATTTTTCAAAAAGGTTCTATATAAAACTGTCTACAGCACATTCTTCAACAGTTTTACAATGCAAAGAACCCTTGAAGAGCATATGTATATGTATATGTGTGTGTGTGTGTATGTGTATGAAAGGTAAGGCATAAATAAGTAAACGTAATATGCTGTAATCTTACAACTAAACTAAGCAGTAGTTAAAGTTACTGATCAGTATTTTTCCAATAAACAGAAAAACAGACATGGCAGGTAAACAGAGCAGCAGAGCAGGCCTTTAGTTTGGTGAGGGGGCGACGACACGTCTCTCTGTTCACTCTCCTAGGTCCAAGCTGAGTGAGCTTAGCTCTTATCAACCCCACCCCCCCTTCCCTTTCAGTAACAGCCTTTCAGTAACTACTTCACTGCAACCTGAGCTGATCTACACACTTCATGGCTGACTAAAGTAACGTGAATACCGCTAATAGCACACACTCCTCTGTGGCTGCGTCAGCGTGCTGGTAACTCTCTCACGCACCGGAAGAGACTCGCTTCCCACAACAAACCCGCCTAGTTAGGCTAATGTACAGCAATGGTCTGATGACCCCCACCACCACACTGCAGTAGGCACAAGAGGTGGATGTATGTAAATGTGTGTACATTGTTTTTTTTGCAGTTTAGCTTTTATATGGACTGGAGATTGAACTGTATGTTTTGAGACTTTAACACTAGTTAGATATTTCATGAAGCTATTTTATTTAATGATATAATAATAATAAATTTTATTTATATAGCACTTTTCATGCCGGTGGCAGCTCAAAGTGCATTACAGACAGGTGATGAAACATAGTTGTGTTTTCTGATAAAAAGCTACTTTAGTGACTGTTTACATGCAGATAAAACAGAGCTCAGAGTCTAAGATCACACCCAGGTTTCGTACTTCAGGTTTGGTACATGAAGCTAAAGAACCAAGTTTTTGTACCAACGATCAATATTTCATTTTTTAAATTATTTAATTATAGAAAATTTTGCGACATCCACTGAGAAATATCTGACACACAGCTGGTTAGTCTGTCTACAGAGTCTTTATCATCAGAAGGAATGGAAATGTATAGCTGGGTGTCGTCAGCATAGCTATGAAAATTTACATTATGCTTCCTAGGGGTATGAATCTTTAGGCACCTCACGATTCGATTATGATTCAGAGGGCTGTGATGCGATTATAAACGATTATTGATGCATCTTTTTTCTCTATACAGGATCTCTATCTTCCTACTGTCTGAGGACTTTACATAATGTAAATGCATTACGGATCATTACAAATACTTTGCTTTAAATATCTAAAATATCTTTTATTAATAAATCAAATGGAAGTGATGTGGCAAGTGAACTAGAAGGCTCTCATTCAGAGACGCTGCTGCCGCTCATCTGCGATAAAATGCGCTGTTACCCTGAAATAAGATCCAGTGGTAATGGGTGTCCACGCACCACGTTACAGCCATTCCCGTTTTCTTTAGTGATTTCGGTTTTGGTATCGTTGTAGAGTGTGTGTGTGTGTGTGTATCTGTGTATCTGTGTGTGTGTGTGTGTGTGTATCTGTGTATCTGTGTGTGTGTGTGTGTGTGTGTGTGTGTGTGTTGGGGGGTGGGGTGGTGTATTTTCGAGACTGGACGCTGAATCTCGGCTCCAAAGTGTGCAGCATAGCGCGAAAGCCCTGGTTCTCAACGACTGAGAACAGACAGCAGACAGCAGGTCACACAGCCCCGAGGTCTGGCCTCGCCAGTAGCGAATGAAAAAACAGAGATTCAGATGAACATTTGGAGACTTATTCGCATTTATAAGCAGCGCGGTTGGTTAAATCTGCTGACAGACTGTCTTTCTCTAAAAAGTTGCGAAAATGAACTCGCTTCTCTTTCAAATTTTCCCGTTCCACCTTAAATGGTGCAGCAGTTACATTCGGCGCCTAAGGCAGAATTTAAGGTGGAACGGGAAAATTAGAACGAGAAGCTGGCGAATGAGAAGCGACTTCACCCTCGTAAAACAGCCGGACGCTGAGACATTTTACAAGAAACTCTTCTAACATTAGTTTTGAAGAAAAGGTTTCTGGCGGAGATTAACATTACGTTATAAATTAAATATTTGGAAAATCGATTTTTGACATTTATGAATCGATTCAGAATCACATCTTCATCGTGATGCATCTAAGAATCGAGTTTTTCCCGCACCCTAATGCTTCCTAATGACATCACCTAGAGGTAGCATGTACAAAGAGAAAAGCAAAGGCCCTAAGACTGAACCTTGAGGGACTCCACAAGAAATGGCAAATCTTTTTGATGAATGATTTCCAAGTGAAACCATGAACTGCCTGTTACTTAAATATGATTTAAACCACTGTAAAACTGCCTGAGAGGCCGACTCAGCATTCAAAACACTGAATTAAAATCTTGTGGTCAGCAGTATCAAAAGCTGCACTAAGATCTAATAAAACCAAAATAGAAGGATTTTGTGCTTCAGCACTGAGCCTGAGGTCATTCATAACATGAATCAATACTGTCTCTGTACTATGGTTAGAACAATACTGTCTCTGTACTATGCTTAGAACAGTGCTGCCTCTGTACTATGGTTAGAACAGTGCTGCCTCTGTACTATGGTTAGAACAATACTGCCTCTGTACTATGGTTAGAACAGTGCTGCCTCTGTACTATGGTTAGAACAATACTGTCTCTGTACTATGGTTAGAACAGTGCTGTCTCTGTACTGTGGTTAGAACAGTGCTGTCTCTGTACTATGGTTAGAACAGTGCTGCCTCTGTACTATGGTTAGAACAATACTGCCTCTGTACTGTGGTTAGAACAGTGCTGTCTCTGTACTATGGTTAGAACAATACTGCCTCTGTACTGTGGTTAGAACAGTGCTGTCTCTGTACTATGGTTAGAACGGTGCTCTCTCTGTACTGTGGTTAGAACAGTGCTGTCTCTGTACTGTGTTTAGAACGGTGCTGTCTCTGTACTATGTTTAGAACAGTGCTGCCTCTGTACTATGGTTAGAACAATACTGCCTCTGTACTATGGTTAGAACGGTGCTGTCTCTGTACTGTGGTTAGAACGGTGCTGTCTCTGTACTGTGGTTAGAACGGTGCTCTCTCTGTAATGTGGTTAGAACGGTGCTCTCTCTGTACTGTGGTTAGAACGGTGCTGTCTCTGTACTATGGTTAGAACAATACTGCCTCTGTACTGTGGTTAGAACAGTGCTGTCTCTGTACTGTGGTTAGAACGGTGCTGTCTCTGTACTGTGGTTAGAACGGTGCTGTCTCTGTACTATGGTTAGAACAATACTGCCTCTGTACTGTGGTTAGAACGGTGCTGTCTCTGTACTGTGGTTAGAACGGTGCTCTCTCTGTACTGTGGTTAGAACGGTGCTCTCTCTGTACTGTGGTTAGAACGGTGCTCTCTCTGTACTGTGGTTAGAACGGTGCTGTCTCTGTACTATGGTTAGAACAATACTGCCTCTGTACTGTGGTTAGAACAGTGCTGTCTCTGTACTGTGGTTAGAACGGTGCTGTCTCTGTACTATGTTTAGAACGGTGCTGCCTCTGTACTATGGTTAGATCAATACTGCCTCTGTACTATGGTTAGAACAGTGCTGTCTCTGTACTGTGGTTAGAACAGTGCTGTCTCTGTACTGTGGTTAGAACAGTGCTGTCTCTGTACTGTGGTTAGAACGGTGCTGTCTCTGTACTATGTTTAGAACAATACTGTCTCTGTACTATGGTTAGAACAGTGCTGTCTCTGTACTATGGTTAGAACAGTGCTGTCTCTGTACTATGGCTAGAACAGTGCTGTCTCTGTACTATGGTTAGAACAGTGCTGTCTCTGTACTATGGTTAGAACAGTGCTGTCTCTGTACTGTGGTTAGAACGGTGCTCTCTCTGTACTGTGGTTAGAACGGTGCTGTCTCTGTACTGTGGTTAGAACGGTGCTCTCTCTGTACTGTGGTTAGAACGGTGCTGTCTCTGTACTATGGTTAGAACAATACTGTCTCTGTACTATGGTTAGAACAGTGCTGTCTCTGTACTATGGTTAGAACAGTGCTGTCTCTGTACTGTGGTTAGAACGGTGCTCTCTCTGTACTGTGGTTAGAACGGTGCTCTCTCTGTACTGTGGTTAGAACGGTGCTGTCTCTGTACTATGGTTAGAACAGTGCTGTCTCTGTACTATGGTTAGAACGGTGCTGTCTCTGTACTATGTATTTAACCAGTAAAAATAGACCATAGCTCTTTAATGTGGTGGTAGTTCTAGAAACAGCTTAATAAAGTTTTTCATTGTTCTTGTTGAAGAGCCGAGTGCTTAGTGTTCTACTGATTGGCAGGCACCGTATTTCAGAACCATGCAGTGTTCAGTGTTCTCATTTTGGAGCAGGTGTTTGTGAGGCCTACAGTAAATACACTGGGAATTCACTTCTACCTGTAAATTAACTTTTACTTTCCCTCCTTTCAGACGCCGCTCATCATATACCTCTTTCATTTTGTCGTCGACTATGCAGAGATTGTGTTTATGGTAAGTACGTCATGTTTGCTTAATTGTTGATAATTCAGTATGGCAAGATGTTTTCCATATATATATTACATAGGGCATACTGTTATTTTAATAGTTTAATAGTTAATTTGTCATAGTACAATATGCTTTTCTAAACATATTGTGGAAATACTTGGATCACCAACCAACTGCATGTTTTATTATGAAGAGACCAGAATTAGAAAACAAAAATATTGTGACGTATCATAAAAATTTCTTGAAGTATCACATGATATTTTTGCTATATGGCTCACCACTGTTTGGTGTTACCCCAAACATGTTTGTATTCTGTCAATAAAAGTCAGTATTGTTGTGTGACACCAAAACTGATGCATCGACGTAGACAATATTTGGCCAGGCAGTTTCATTATTGTAAGGCAAATAGAAGAGAAACTGTGGGTTGTGTGCTAAGACAAATCAAAGGGGGGCCTATGACAGAGCCCTGTGGAACTCCTCAGGTGGACCATTCTATTGAATAAGTTCACACTGCTGTCTCACAGTAAAAAAAACTACTTAAACATTTTCAGACCTTAGATATTTACAAGCATTATGTTATAATCTATCTAAACTAAAGGCATTAATAAAGATAGTAACAAGTTAAATATTTACGAAATCATCATTTATAAGGTACTTTCTATTGGGAGGTGACTGTCCCAAACCCTAACTCCTACATTTACACTTGTGAAAATATTTGCAATATTTGCAATTTTTTTTGTTTGCAGTGTTGTTTTTAAAAATTATTTTTGATTTATTTTAAAGTGATGATTAGATTTATAAGTTTAATTTTTAATTAAAAAAAGATTTCTTCAGAAAATGCTATCCCATGTTTTCGTGTCACTACCAAAACAATCAGTCTGTAGGCGGACCCTTATTTTAGCCACACCCCTACATTCTAGAGCAGAAAGTGAGGCTGCATCCCTGTCCCTCATGGCCACATGGTGAGCAGTTAGATCCCATTGTTTTGAAGTAAATGTGTCCCAAAGTCTGAAAATCAGTGTGGAACATTAAGAATCGTCATATTTTCTGCAGTTCAGAAGTTTTTAGTGTTTTAATGAAAAATATGATGATTTTCTGTGTGAACAGCTGTTCAAAGCTGTGTTTGCTGGTCATGTTCTGGCTGAGTTTCTGAGCTCAAAATGAGCTAAAATTGTCACCGAAACGGTCACTACTGACACATTTGGTAAAATTTGGTAGAGTTATGACTGTTTTGGTAGCAACAAAATGGAATGTTCAGTCATTAATTTAAAAAAGAATAATCATAATTACGGTTTAGAGTCACTCAGAGAAAAAGGATTTTAGTCTTAAGTCCAAAATCAGTTAAAAGTCTCAAATGTATTTCAGCTCAGCTTTTTGAACCAGTTAAATAGGATGATCTATATATGTAATTTTAATCCAGTTCACATGATGGTTATTATGATTTTGGAATGTCCCTTAGTTTTAATTTTTATTAAGTTATTTAATTTAGTTTTTGATTTCACTTTAGTATCAGTTAATTTTAATGCGCATTAGTAATTTTTTGTTTTTATTTTCCGAAAAGTAACAGTTTTAGTTTAGTTTTTGTTTGTTTTCAGTGTTGGTTTTAGTTTTTAGTATTATGATGAGATCTATGCTGTGATAGTAGAATAAAATAAACACAACAGTAGACTGAGCTCAGCTCGGCTCCAGCTTGCCTTAAAGACCATTTCTAAACTCTCATTAACACACTGAAAAAACTAAAGGTCGAAAAGGTCTCGTCAGAAATTCGGGGTATAATAATAATACAGGGTGATTCAAAAAGATTCGTCCGATTTCAAAATGATTTATTTCACTTGTAAATCATTACAGATCAATGCAGTGAACTGTAAATGGTTTAAATGAGCATAAAGTTTATTATGTAATTGTACAAGGTCTCAGTATGAACCTCCTCCAGCTGTACAGACAACATCAACACCACAGTCAAACTCATCCCATACTGGACTGAGCGTGTCGGGTGTCGCTGCACTCACAGCTCTTTCAGTGCGATTTCGGAGATCATCCAGTGTTGTGGAACCAACGCCGAACGCTCTGAGCTGTTGGAGCTTCACTGCCCACGAAAATCACACTGCACAGTTATGATGGATTCACTCTTATTGAAGTGGAGAACGCAGAACGCTTTCTGCTCAGGGGTCTCATCTCCTCTCAGACTGAAGGAGCCATCTTCCACTGATAGTCAGAAACTCTATGACCCCCTCTTTCAATTGGATTTTGATTGGTTCCTCAGCGCCTCATGGTTGTAAAAATATGGCGCTTTGAAATCGGATGAATCTTTTTGAATCACCCTGTAGTTTTGATTTAGTATTTGTGTTGTGTTATATTTTGTGTTATATACTGAGCACGTTTTTTCCCTGCTAGTTTTTGTCTTGGTGAACTGTAATAACCCTGGTTCACATTTCATATACTGTATCACAGCTGCACCCACAGCCTCCTGATGGGTGTTGGATGTAAATCTCATTGCAGTCGTAGCCCGAATGTTTCTCTGTGCATCGTGTGTGTGTAACATACTCGTGTTCCTGTGATGGAAGCTCGCTGTAGTGTGAAAGCCGTCTTGACCGTCATAGACAGATGATGAAGAGGAAGGGAGAGTATCTGAATCATCTCTGATCTGCTCTGCTTGTCATGCTGCCTGAGTCAAAGTGCTCGTGTTAAACTTCTCTCTCCAGATAGCAGATGGAATCACAGCAGTGTGTCTCTATCTGGCCGTGCAGAACTACAACAAGAATGTGGTGAGTATCAGAAGAGCTCGTCTTCGTCAGCGTGATACTCGTCAGAGTTGCGATTGCACTGTATAAATGTACGTCCCGCAGTTTCACAGTAGAGTGAGCAGGAAATGGGGCCCAGTACAGTACCCTCCACAAATATTAGCACCCCAGTAAACAAAACGAGCTGTAAAACACATCCTTTTGATCTTTCAGTCAAAACATTAACAAAAATCTAACTCTTATTTGAAGTACAGTGATTGAAACAAAAACACAAATCTTATCAGGAAATAAATATTTTTCTCAAATGTATCTGGACCACAGTTGTTGCCCCTCTTCAGACATTGTGCAGCCTCCTTCTTCAAAGACAACAGCTCTGAGTCTTCTCCAATAGCTGGAGAACACATGGCGAGTGATCTGAGACCGTTCCTCCATACAGAACCTCTCCAGATCCTTCAGATTCGATTCAGAGCTCCAAACTGTGGGCGCTCCTCTTCACCTCTTCAGCTCTTCATCCCATAGGTTTTCTATGGGGTGTAATCGAGATAAAGAGAACTTACAGGAAAAATTGTAAACAAAACAGCAAAGAAGTTGGAAGCTTGTCATTTTAATAATTTTTTATAAAGTATGTTAAATACTTTAAATAAATAACATAAATAAATACTAATAATGTAGGTTTCAGTCTTCAAAAACATATAAAGTAGACATTAAATTTTGGGATCACGAAGAATGTATTACATGATTAAATCACATACCGTAATTCTGGATTTTGGTATTGATGTATTACATCTTTCTGCATCACCTACAGCTCTGTTCATTATTTTGGATACATCTGAAGCATCTTAATTTTATTTTTTATATGTTGTTGTGCAGTTAAATTACTTTTATTTTATTGAAAACGCTGTTTCCAAACTTTTCTAAACTGGAACTGTTGTGTACATCATTGTAGAGTTTTATTCAAGAGTTTCTGCTGTTGGAGTTTAGGAAATTTGACAGTTGAGAACTGACAGTCATACCAGTCATTAAAGCACTGTTTAACTAAAATTGAGTCTTAATTTTTAACTATATGAAATTATATCAGCCAGTTTTATTTGTTAATGATTTTAAAAAAAAACAGTTGATATTGAAGAGAGTTAGAATAAGAAATATCTTTTCTGTGCAGGAGGATGAAAAGGCTGTAGGATCATTTTCTTAAAGCTCAACTTCACACCGAAATGTTAATGTGTTTAATAATGAATAAAAGCCACTGATGATCAGTTAGAATCTTCTCCACAGGTAGATAATGCTCATGGACCTTCATTATCGTTCATTTTTTAATAACAGCATCATTTGAATGATGTGCTTGGCTTTCTGTTATGCTTCTTCTCACATTACAGTTCAGAAAGCAGAAGTACGCTCTGGAAGCTGACAGATATCCACACGACTGTCTGGAGCTCATGCGCTCACCCAGAGAGATGCACTACATCCCTCTCAAAGTGGCCATGTTGTGAGTCCTGACTCCTCTCTGATATTTGAACTTTTATTAATTACTAAAGTTAATCATTTTCTGTATAATCCAGTGTGTGAGATGTAATCAGAGAGATTCAGAGTGGTTTGGTGTGAAATGGTTCAGATGTCTTTACAGTGGTGGTGATAGGAACCAGGGGTCGCCATGACTACAACACAAATATAGACATTTTATTTACTATCCAGAACCACCAGTGAACCTACACGAGTCTTCTGAGCTTATATGGAATGTTGATGATGGAAAATAGTGGAAAATCTGAAATAATAAGTTTTCTTTGGGGACTATTTTGCCTCACAGCGCCCTGCATATTATGTTTCCCTCCATGAAAGGCAGTGAATTCATAACCATTTCATGTAGTAACTTTCTGTGAGGGAGCTTTTAGAGGTGGACGTCTGGTTCCTATCACCACCACTGTGAACAATTCTGACTCGGTAAGTTTCTCTAGAACAGAGCGTTTCACACCAAACCACTCTGAATGACTCTGTTTACATCTTAACCACTTAATTGTACAGAAATTTTGGAATATCGGTGGAATTTCCCCTTTAATGCCTTTGGTTATCTTGCGCTTGTGGACACACAGTGGATTGGAAATAAAATGGATATATTTGCATTGTAACATTTCATAAGCTCATCATCAAAACACTCAAAATTACTTTGTTCATATGTCAGTTATCTATTTATGAAGAAATTTTAATAATGGGTGGAATTCCTCTTTAAGGCATTACCACATAAAAGCTGGGGAGTGTTTTTAGTGAGACACGGGTTGGCCTAAAGTACGACATACATGTACATAAAGCCTGTTTAACTCTTGCGCTGTTTTGTCTAGTTGCCATGACATCACTGATGTCAGTCATTCTAATTTGCATAATAGGCCACGCCCAGACAGCTCTGAGACAGGTCTAATCAGCCGTTTTTTAAGCCGTGTTTTGTTATATTTCTGCTCTGTTTTTGTTTGATATAACACTCAAGTTTAGTGCCATACATAACTTCTTTTTATATTTTGTGCAGATGAGGAGCAGAAAGCAGCACTTTTCACTGATCTTTCCTTGTTCCTCCAGTTACCTGCTGAATCCCTTTACTATCCTCTCATGTGTGGCGAAGTCTACCTGTGGACTGAACAATGCTGTTATTGCGCTCTTCATCCTCTCTACTTTAAAAGGTGAGCGCTCTACATCTGCGTGAAACATGATCATAACAGCTCAGATATCCCAGACCACTAATTTATAGTATTAAAGCACTTTCTGTGTCTGGAGACATATGACAAAATCGTTTAAATTGAAAATGAAGGACACGGCCCATCAAAATATCAATTATAAACCTGATGGTTCCAGTTCTGAAGCCTGTTTGGCTGAGATAATGTTGGCTTTGTACATAAGGCTTTGTAGAATACCTGATATACACACACTTATGAGGGCAGCTGAGTTCTGTATTAATGCACTGAGACAGTAAAGTGTTCCTTGTGTGGAACTTGGTATTGGTAGGTGGAACCAGGCATCAACATGTATATTTTGTCTGTTTATTTAATATTATTCATATTCTTATTCTTATTTTAATTATGATTATTTTATTATTATTTTAGTCAATTTAATTCATTTTTAGTTTATTTTTGTTCTTATTCTCCTTTTATCTTACTTTGATTTGATTTGATTTGATTTTATTAACTTTTACATTTTAGCTACATTTTATTGTTTTATATTTTCTACTGTATTCTTATGTATTTTTATTATTAATGTTTCTTTTTTTGTACTTACCTGATTTGAGTCTTTTTTTAATTAAATTTACTTGTATTATTTGATATGTTCTTTCACATTATCAATCCCTTGTTCTGTATCAATTAGGCAACATTGTAAGTGAGGGTCACCCTCAATGTTCTCCGAGGTTAAATAAAGGTTGGTTGATTGATATGAAGTAAACAACCTGAAACTGTATTAAACATAGCCTACATAGGAATCCAGGGCTGGACGATATGACAATATTTATCATAATCGGGATAATGACATCACAGTGTGTCACAATATGCTTTTGAGGATATCAGCACTTGACACGTCCCGACTGTGTGTTTGATTACAAAGAGAGCATAATTAGTCCTGCTTTACTGGATTCAGAGCAGTGCATAATGTGAAATGTTGAATATAAATCACTATATTGATAGTTTTGGATATCATTTTTTAAAGGTTGCTCAACTTTGTCTTTTCCAACTTATGATATGTTTTCTGATATATCACGTAACTTCTTGAAGTATCGTCATATTCCATTTTTGCCGCATCGCCCAACTCTAGTTTATACTGAGAAGCCAACAACTACATGTTCATGATTATACAACCAGAATTGATGAGATGACTGGAATATATAATGATATTTTAATTGGTTAATCATTTACATGTGTAATTTCTTTAGCATCATACTTACATACATACATACAGCTCTCCTAAAATAGGTTATCTAGATGCACTGCACTGTATGTCCAAAAATCCTTTCAAACAGTGCTTCTGCTGGTCCTGTTCTCCTTAGAAAAGCACTGACCGATAGAATGTGATGCTCTGGAGCAGCCGCACATGAGCCTAAGGACACCATGTCCAATGCCGAGTAAGGCTGAACAATTTGGGAAAAATATTTAATTGCGATTTTTCTGAATAATATTGTGACTGAGATTTAAATTGTGATTATTTTCTATAAATTAAGGCCTGTTTTTTGACTTTTATCGACTTTTCCCTGGCTTGAGGTTTGACCCCTGTGTGCCAGACTGCCAGTAAGCTGTAGTTGTGATGTCACAACACATGGTTGCCTCTGATTGGTCTACCTGATCTCCAGGCAGTTCATAAGCTCTGAGTTATTAAGTTAAATTTCCCCTTCTAAAACGTAGGACGACGTAGTTTATAATCTACAAATCGCTCTTGCGATTTGAAAATTGCACTTAAATTTGATACAAAGCGATTTATCTTTCAGCCCTAACGCCAAGCGTGGGCTAGAGGGGTATAAAGCCCCCCAGCATTGGGCTGTGGAGCAGTGGAACTGTGTTCTCTGGAGAGATGGAGCTCCATCCAGTACCTTTGGGATGATTATTGATCCAGAACTGACAATCCAACATCAGTACCTGACCTCACTAATGCTCAATCAAATCCTCACAGCAATGTTCCATCTAGAAGCCTTCCAGACGAGTAGAGGCTGTTACTGCAGCACAGACTCACTATTAACACCCCTCATTTTAGCTGGAGTCTGCGGACTTTTTGACATCGCGTCACCTGATGTTTATTTCTCATGCCGTGTTGTCCGGTTTTGTGTATGTTTTCAGGAAGTGCCTTATTGAGCGCCATATTCTTGGCCTTGGCGACTTATCAGAGCATCTATCCTCTCACGCTGTTCGCTCCTGCCCTTCTCTTCCTGTTACAGGTGAGCAGAACTTTCTTTATAATAGTCATCAAAACAAGTTATTCACAGAAATCTGAATGTCTGATCTGTCTCTGTTCCTCGTCTAGAGGCTGTACATCCCAGTGAACCCGTGCAGGAGTAGTTTCTGGTTCTTCACGCTGCAGTACGCCTTCATGTTCGTGGGCAGTCTGCTTGTCATCGTCTGCCTGTCCTTCTTTCTGCTCGGATCTTGGGACTTTATCCCGTCTGTCTATGGATTCATGTACGTCTACCTCTCTCTGGGTATTGATTTATCGATAAAGAACTACAGTAGTAGTCAAAAGGTGTGGACACACCTGCTCATAGATGATTTTGTTTTTTACCCACACTTTAGAGTAATAGAAAAGGCATCAAAGCTATATAATAACATACATTACTATAGATAACAGATATGGAATTACTAAAGACAGAAATATTTACCTTCTTCCAAATATAGTAATAATAATAATAATTTTTATTTATATAACACTTCATGACGGTGGCAGCTCAAAGTGCTTTACAGACAGGTGATAAAACCGTAGTTATACAAGAAATCGTAAGTATTTATTTAGAATCACAAGAAAATGAAACAGATCAAATTAGAAGATAAATATGGCTCAGTAAGGACAGACATTCCATTAAATAACTTTTAACAAGGCACACACAGTATTTAGGGTGATATAATGATTATAATTCATCTTTTTTCAACTCAAAATTGTATTAAAGTTCATTAAAATTACATAAATAATCTACTTTTTGGGGAATTTGAAAAAGAAGATTCATATAGGCTTACATACACTGTATGGCCAAAACGTATGTGGACATCTGACCATCACACCTGTATGAGCTTGTAGGACGTCCCATTCTGAAACCTGGCTCACAGTCAATGTTCCAGTTCATCCCAAAGGTGTTCAGTGGGGTCAGGTCTCTGTGCAGGCCACCCCTGCGTAGGTGCCTTTTCACCATTTTTAGAAATAAATTTGCAAAATTAATTGATGCGCAAAGGTTTGAACACATTATTTGCACCTTGATGGATGGAAATGTACCTTTTCTGACAGCATACATTAATTGAATATTGAATATTCAAGATGATATTCAGTAGAATATTTATAAACGAAACCGTTAGAGAGTTGCAGCCATAATGGAGGTGTGCATTTGATCCACAGCCTCTCGGTGCCGGATCTCACTCCAAACATCGGGCTCTTCTGGTATTTCTTCGCTGAGATGTTCGAACACTTCCGTTTCTTCTTCATCTGCGTCTTCCAGATCAACGTCTTTTTCTACACCATCCCTCTCTCCATCAAGCTCAAGTAAGTCTGCGTCACAGAATAACATGAAATTAAATTAATAGACCGTTCTCACACTTTCTTGTTTGTGTATGCAGAAGCGTAAATAGTAGTGATAACTGAGTTACGGTTGCTGTGTAAACAATAACTGAGCACTTAATAACAGGGTAAAAGAGGGGCTAACAAAGTATCAGAGAAACAGATGGACTACAGTCTGTAACTGTAGAACTACAAAGTGCTCCTATATAGTAAGTGGAGCTGATAAAATGGACAATGAGCGTAGAAACAAGGATGTTTCTGAATGAATGGAGAATGTAAATCATCTGCTTTTTTATTTTTTACCTTCATATCTCTCTCTCTGCCCCACAGGGAGCACCCAGTGTTTCTGATCTTCATGCAGATCGCCATCATCTCCATCTTTAAGTCGTACCCCACTGTAGGTGACATAGCGCTCTACATGGCCTTCCTGCCTGCCTGGAGTCATCTCTACAGATGTGAGTAGCACTTTCAGAAGAACGCTGCGCTGCTGCTGATGTGGCTGAGCAGAAATGAAGGCAGTTGGAGGTCAGTCAGCAGGAGCTCGTTTGCATGGCTCCCGGACCTCCTAGATCTCACCTGGTGATAATGATAACAGAACTAGCTTTCAGAGGTGGGAGCGAGTCCATTTCAACACTAGGGCTGCTCAGTTATGGCAAAAATCATAATCATGATTATTGGTCAATATTGAGATCATGATTATTTAACATGATTACTTGTTGACAAAACTCATCGGAAACATCATGAATTTACTGAGCTTTTTGTCTTTTTAACAGTGTATTTCCTTGAACTTCAAATACAGTTCAGCAGAAAAGCAAATTAAATATGATAAACAATAAATAAATAGAAAAAATAAATAAAATCAACCATGTTGTAGTGTAGTACCACAACCTGCTTAAAACCAGAGACATATAAAAATAACAGATAAAGACAAAATAGACCAAAATAAATTAGATGGGTTTGAGGGAGGGGCGCTGTAAAGGAAAGGGGGGCGCTGAATTTATAACGCAAGATAAAACGAGAGCATCAGTGAAATGGATTGCGGCACAAAAACTCAATCTCGATTATCTTGTTTTCATAATTGTTGGAAGTCAAAATGGTAACTGAACATAAAATTTGATCAATCACCCAGCCCAGAGTCATTAGTGTTCAAGTCAAGTCACAGGTCTTTCTCAGTTTTGTCGAGTCTTTTTGTGACTCATGACAGATTCCTGTGACTCGAGTCCACACTGCCGCTCGCTTTGTTATATTAGCAGTTCCCTCAGCTGTAGCTGGTCATCTAATCTGGGAACCGCCTTTGAACAAGCTTTTTTTAGGGAGTTAAATTTGCATTAAAGTATGTTTACTCAGGTTGCTCCCTTTGATGACGACTCTTTCTTCCGAAAGGTAAATAGTAATCTGTTAGCTTTAGTGCAGGACTGCAAAAAAGACTCAAATGAATATGCAAATGTTTGAACTTCCCTGGTCAGATTACACGTTTTGTTGATTTTTCAAAGTGAAAGTAAGTAAACACACACTACACAGAACGCACTTAAATATGACAATTTTCTCAATTTTAGTGCACATGCTGGAAAAAAAACATACAATATATAATGTGCTGTAACTTTTGCACAGAACACAATTTGTTTATGTTAAATTCAGTAAATAAACAGTAATTGTGTATTAAAATATGCAGAAGTGTGTTCTCTGTGCAGAATGTGTTAGCTCTTTTTAAATGTATTTTAAATTAATATATTCAAATTCCACGTTTTTTCTGTGTGTTCTTTTTCTCCAGTCTTGAGGAACATCTTCCTGGTGTCCTGTGTTTTGTTGGCGTGCTCGGCTCTGTTCCCCGTCCTGTGGCATCTGTGGATCTATGCTGGTAGTGCCAACTCAAACTTCTACTACGCCATCACGCTGCTCTTCAACGTCGGGCAGGTGGGTGTCAGCTTTCACTATAATTAAAAAAATACTGATAAAATAATAAGATAAAAAATAAGAAATTAAAGAAGGATAATAATGGTTTCAGGCAGTAGCCTAAATGGGTGGGGCTAAACTGCTGTCAGCTGAATGGGCGGGGCTAAACTGCTTTAAACTTCAGATATTCGTTCTTTTTTTTTCTCGGGAGAAACTTGAGAACGACTCAAGGTTTCGGCTTATAATGCAGCTTTATTTTTAATTGGCTAAAAACGGTGCCAGACATGATGAGAAGAAACACAGGTTCTCCAGCGCTAACAGCTAAAAACACAGCCCTCTGTTCTGCTCCAGTAAACCCACCACTCCCCCCCCACACACGCTCTTCAACATTAAAGTCCTAACCTAAACAGCCCAACATGAACATTTCTTCTGTTAAAAGAAACTGAACTCCTTACAGTGCGGCGCAGACATGACATAGACATATGATACATACTGTATATACTGCATTCATATATATGTATATATACGTAGATATATATATATATATATAAACTGTCTCAGCTCGGCAACTGACATCCCGCTCACTGTCAGCAGTGAACGTCATATATATATATATATATGAGTGTGTGTGTGTGTGTGTGTGTAGTGTATTGTTAAAATGTCTTGAAGTTGTCGTGATATATTGCCACCCCATAGTAAAGACCCTATATTAGTCTTTCTGAACTTTCTTCTTCCTCTGTTATTCTACAGCTCTCTTGTTTTTCAGCTCGTCTCTGTGTGACCTCAGTCACGTCTCTGACTTGTTTACCTCCTCCACAGGAAGTCACTTCTAGTGTTTCCTGGTGTAGAGTTTCTAGAACATGAAGCAGAAATCATTCTCGCGTGTTCATAAACAAAACAGACGAGCAATAAACCAAAAACAAAAGTGTTTCTCACGTCTCAGTATGAGATTGTTTATAAACCCCCTCTGTGTCTGGAGTTTAAGACTGGTCTGAGCTGCTTTAGACGCTGGTTTAAAAGCTGTTTCAAAAACTGGTTTAGATGCCAATTTAAAAACTGGTTTAGATGCCGATTTCAAAAACTTGTTTAAATGCTGGTTTAAAAACCGGTTTAGATGCCATTTTAAATGCTGATTTAAATGTGGGTTGACATGATGGTTTAAAAATGCTGGTCTAAAAACTAGTTTAGATGATTTAAAAACTGGTTTAGATGCTGGTTTAAAAACTTCTTAAATGTGGTTAAAATCCTGGTTTAAATGCTGTTCTGGATGCTGTTTGGCTGATGTATTGGTGGAAAAACAGTGATGTCAGGGCTGCAGTTAATTATTTAGGAGCTTGTATTGGTTTCCTCTAACAGCGAGTGCACGCCGAGTTCACCAGGGCTGTTTTCCTGCGTCCCACGTGTCTGTGTTTCACCAGACCTCGTTACATTACAGTTAATCACCAGGACTGTAGAGTGTAAAAGCAGTCATGGCAGGTATCAGTGCTGTAACTATAACACCTGAGATTACTGTTCAGTTTTGCATCACTGTAACAAACAAAGAACTTCCTTAGACCACATTTGATTAACGCTTAGAAATGAAGAGTTTTACTGTCACTTTGTTATACTGTTAAATGTAATTGCATATTTAATTGCATAGTGAATTTGGCTTATTCTGTTGTGGGACCTTTGAGCCCTTTTCTTTTTGATTGGATGTGAAGCAATGACCAAATGAAAGTGGAAAACCAGACTGTACACACGACAGTAACTTTTCATTAAATTCAAATTATAGTAAAATATAGCGCATCCACTGTTACCCTGCTTTAAACACTGTTTGAACCACAGTCGTTAGCTTGTAGACATGTGGTGCTTAAATCAGTCCTCAGCGCCCCAGACGGCCCACATTTTGGCTCTAACCCAGATCCGAAAACACGAGAACCAAGCTAGAATAAAAACAGGCTAAAATATGGTGAGTGTGAGCTGCTGGAGTCGCCCTGTAAAGCCTGACATAATCGTTTAAAGTCAGAGGCGTCGAGTTTTTCACACCACGTCGTACGTCTTTACGTATTAACGTCACACTCAGACTCAAAAACAAGGTCCTGCTCGATATTTCAGCCTCAAATGATCTCAGAATCACATTATACTGATGAAGATATGATGACAGTAATAGATAATCCACTCACATCCTCAGAGACGCTGCTTCACCAAGTTTAGACTGAGTTCTCTTCATCCACTCGGGGAAGAAGCACAACTCACACTGCAAAATGTTCTGCACTTTGCATGCAGTTACACATTTCCACCAGAGGGGTCTCCAAATCCCTGAAACTGACATAGTGTAGCTTTAATAGGCTGCTGTAAAATCATGTTTTTATATTGTTATTATATTTATTTATTCTTATATAGTGTGCAAAAATAATGTGCTCACTGGAAAGGATACGGTGCAAAAAACAGGATGTGGTGCAAATACCTTTTTTGTCCATCAAGTCTCTTTAAACCTATGAACATGTACTGCTACTTCAAAAAAGATCAGACAAGATATTTGTATGAAAAACAACAAAAAGAATTGAAAATGAATCAATTAATTAATAACGTCTCTGGCATGAGGAGACGTATGTTTCAGAGCACTGACAAAATCAAGCGACTCTGCTTATACTCTAAAACTGGCAACCCTGAAAATAGTTAGTATTGAATTACTCCGTTATCACTAGTAATTAGGGCTGCAGCTAACGATTATTTTCACTGTCTATTAATCTGTTGATTATTTTCTCGATTAGTTGATTACTTGTTTGGTCTATAAAATGTCAGAAAATGGTGAAAAATGTTCATCAGTGTTCTCCAAAACCCATGATGACGTCCTCAAATGTCTTTTCTTGACCACACACCCAAAGATGTTCAGTTTGGTGTCACAGAGGAGTAAAGAAACTAGAAAATATTCCAATTTAAGAAGCAAGAATCAGAGAATTTTTACATTTATTCTTAAAAATGTAGTCAAACAGATTAATCGATAAAGTAGTTGGCAATTAATTTAATAGTCAACAACTAATCAACTAATTGTTGCAGCTCTACTAGTAATATCTATGAATCCTCAGGGTTTCATTTACAAAAACAATCATCAAACAATCATCATGTGCGCTTATTAATGGTGTTTCTGTTTGTTTGTTAGATCCTGCTGGTATCAGACTACTTCTACGCGTACCTGCGTCGGGAGCATCACCTGAGCCAGGGTTTGTACCTGAGGAGGAAAGACGGCAGTGAGGCTACGCTGGTGTTAAAATGACCTTCAGCATGTGGACAGAGACCAGGCCAACCATGCTCTTCTCCCTCTTTCACCACCTTACTTCTTTTCTTTACCCCTTCTGTTTCTTTATCACTCCTTCATTGTTCATTTTTTTCACCCCTCAAACCTCTTTTCATCTCCACAATGATGGTACCTCCCTCTCCTGGACCAAAGCTGCTGCGTGAGGGACATTTTCAGTGCAGAAGCTCGTCAGAGGTGATGGAGCCACTGAAGGACACTACGATGCCTTTGCGTCCGCTCTGGTGTTTAAATACATAGCAAAGGGGTCTTGAAGTGGTGGCTCGACTGTTTACCGCGCAAAGTGTGCAGTTTATTTTGTCTTTATTTTTAGCATTTCTTCCCAAAAGCTAAACAAAACAAAATGTGTCTTTCCCTGGCGTGCAGTTCCGAGCTTGGTCAGCAGAGGGCGTGCAATGAATGTACAATAGTATGAACTCAGTGACCGCTGAAAGCCTGCTGGCTCGCCACGCTGTAGGCCTTTGTATGATTATAGGAGGTAGACTACCCATGACTGTCTGGTCATGTGAGCGGTCACGGCACATTTCTCCAGCCTTTTTTTTTTTGCTTACATTGCTTTTACTTTTACGTCATCAGTTATAGAACTGTACAGTTAAAGGGGAATTCCACTGATTTATTTTCAGAATTGCTGCATTATTAACAAAACAGTTAACATGTAAAGTCGTTCAGAATGGTTTCGTGTGAAACGCTCCAGAGGAACTTAGAACTGTTCACAGTGGTGGTGATAGGAACCAGACGTCCACCTCTAAAAGCTCCCTCACAGAAAGTTCCTACATGAAACGGTTATGAATTCACTGCCTGATGACTGAGACACTGTTTTATGATAGTTTTGAGAAGATTTTGGGCTAAAACGTATGTCTTTCAATACAAGTAGTAGTAAATAAAATGGCTATATTTATGTTGTAGATATTTTGACATCTGGTTCCCATCACCACCTCTGTATTATGCTACATTTTTTTTAAAAAGGGTGGAATTCCCCTTTAATTCGCTTTCGTCGCCAAAACTGTAATGCTTTTCTTCTTTGAGGAATGTGAATGGCCTAAATTTGCCTTTTATGAATTAACATGCACTGTATTTGTTTAATTTATTGGTGTATTTCACACTAATTTGGTTTTGTATGAATCTTATGTTAATGGAAAAGGGAGATTGAGTTTTTTTTGTTTAACATGCTTAACATTTTACATGTTTGACCTGTTGTAGGAGGGCATTGGGTGAAGCTTTAGCATGAGATTGTGTTGAATCTGCTTTCAGACTACACGATATGAAATTGCACGCCTTTAATAATTGGCTGGTGATGTTGGGTGGGAATCCTTATGTACTAGAACGAGTGTCCGAGCAGTATTGGTGCATTAGGCACAGCATATGTAACGTCACATTACCAAGATACACAATATGCATCAGGAAGTGTCGTATTTTTGATGATTAAGAGTTGGAACAGACAAAAGGAGTGACATTTATAAAAGTCTGACTGAATATTATGATTAATATTCAGTTTCCCCACTGAGCTGCATTAATACAATTAAAATGCTCTGTTTGTATTAAACATGCAGTTTGGTTTGGACTGATGATACTAAGAAAAGCATATTGTGACTTAATGTGATGTAATTTACTACAATAACAATAAATATCATATTTATATCATATGTCATACAGCCAGCCCTAGTCGGTCCAGGGAGCCGCGCAGTCCCGATTGGCCGTCCAGCACGGCAGGTGTTGGGGCTTATTTTAAACCCACAGCATCATCGGATCAATGAACGAGTCACTCAACGTGTGCGTGAATGCCGAAGGCTCAGTGCAGTGGAATTTTCCACCACTGTGTGTGTTTTCCTTCCCACAGACGGACAGACGGACCCACCTATAAACCCGTACGTGCTCAAGATTACCAGCTCCAAAGTCCGCTGCCCTAAAAACGGCACAAGGCACTCATAAACAAAGTTAATCATCCCGCTTCAGTTTGCCAACCGAACATACTAATCTAAATTTCTCCCAAATAAACAACTAACACACATTTTATCCTCACAAATGTTTGGGCACCCCTGCTCAAACCACGTGGCTTGTTGGTTTTTGTAATAGGAAAGCTAAAACATCCTCTACAGGGAACCTAAACGTGGGATTTTTCTGCAAATTTTAGCACAGTTACTTTTTAATGGTGACTTTTCAGGACATTCTTAACTTTGAATGAAACAAACTTTTTTTTTAAGAGTTATTTTGCACCGTTTCTGCTGGTCCATTCATCGAGAAATTAGAACAACTGGCATTTTCAAATTCTGTACAAATTAAATTCAAATACAAATTAAAATAAGTAAGAGATACGAGGGTTTGTCCCAACAGTAACAACTAGAACTTAAGTATGGGAATTTTTCTGCAAATTTTAGTGCACAGTTACCTTTTTTAATAACTTTTAATAACATTTTTATTAACTTCACAGGACATTCTTCAGTTTAAATGGTACAGACAGTGATTTTTGGACGTTTCTGCTGGTCCATTCATTGTGAAATTAAAAAGGACAACTGGCATTTTCAAATTCTGTGCAAATTAAATTTATATGCAAAATAATAAATAAAAAATAAACAAAAATAGAGATACAGGGGTTTGTCCCTACAGTGATGACTAAACCTTGAGTATATTTTTCTGCTAAATTTACTGTTTCTTCAGGAAAAATGAACATACATGGCATGTGCCTAAACTTTTGCACAAATTTCACAGTTCAGCAAATAAACAGTACTTGTTTAAAATGTGTTCCCTGTAGAAAATCAACAAAACGTAAAAATGTCATTTGAACGGGGTGCACAAACTTTACATTAGACTGTAGATGTCAGACGTTTATCTGTCCAGCTATAACAGTGATATACATATGAAATTGCTTGTAGACCCTGTAAGAGATCTGAGTGAAGCAGCTCAGCAGCTCCATTCATTTGTTAATGAGTACGTTTGTTAGTCAAACACAGCTCGGCCTGCAGAGCCTGAAGACCTGTCCAGACAAACGCTTCGGCCGTCAGTCTTCAGCTCACCTGCTTTGTTTTTCAGCTTAACTAAAAGAATTTAGCCAAGTAGCTCAACTCTGACCCAGAGGTGCTTTAAGGGAAATTCCACTGAATGTGTGAAAATTCTGCATAATTAGCTGATTGAGATGTAAACAAAGTCATTCATAGAGGTCTGTGAGATGTCAGTGGTGGTGATAGGAACCAGACGTCCACCTCTGAAAGCTGCCTTACAGGTTTAAATTATTTACACATTTGGCATATTTACGCTCTTATCCAGAGTAACGTTAGGAGTCTAGCCCAAGGTATTATTAGGCAATAAAAGATGAGAGGAGGTGCGTTATCACGAATAGCATCACGGTTATGCACATTATTCACCGTGACACATGACCTCCAGTGTTCTGCCGCTTTATTACAACAGCTCTGCAAGATAAAAAAAAATCAGGAAAGTAAAGAATATTACAACAAATGTGCTTTAATATTGCCAAATAAAAAGTTGCATCTGTTTGTGCTACAGAAAACAGCAGTAAAGTAGGTTTTGCGCTGGACATTTGATGGATATTTCTTGTGAAATAAACATCCAGAACTGATCAAACCTACATTTTCGCACTCCTGAAAGACTGAAATACAACCAAATATGGTTTTAAAATGTGTTAAATTTAGCTGAACATAATATGTCTGGAAACTGATCATCAGCGCTTTAGTCCGTAAGTGAGCATCTAAAAATTGGACGACGTGGATGACTTTCTACATTTTATTATGCATGTATTTAACTAAAAGAAAGTGAAATCACATCAAGTCACTTGCAGTAAATGAAGTGGCCTCCTTTAACCCTGCTGCAAATCCCTCTTAAATACACCACTCTGTTTATTAAAAGTGATTTTTAGCTAATGATGCAAAAAAGTGATGTTATTACAAATAACACTGCTATACAAATTAGGCTGTGCCGTCGGAACTGTGTTGTACATTATGACAGTTTTTGACGCTGTTTACATCTGGTCACTTCATGCGCCTTGAGTATCAGGATTATATCAGGATGAGGCCACATAAAAATATGTAAACGCAGCCAAGACGGTGGACTGAGACGTAATTGGAGCCACATATTACAGCAGCGTAAACACAGACAGATTCAACAACCAAACTCCTCCCAGCACAACAGAAACCCCTCCCAGTGTACAACCCCATTTCCAAAAAAGTTGGGACGCTGTGCAAAATGTAAATAAAAACAAAAGGAAATGATGTGCAAATCGTTTAAACCCCATATTTAATTGAAAATAGTACAAAGACAACACATCAAATGTTGAAACTGATAAATTTGATTGTTTTTTGAAAAATATTTGCCAATTTTGAATTTGATGCCAACAATACATTGCAAAAAAGTTGGCACGGGGGCAACAAAAGGCTGGTAAAGTTGTGTAATGCTAAAAAAAAGGCGCATTAGTGCACATGGCATGGGTGACGTGCACATCTGTGAAGGCTCCATTAATGCTGAATGATATATACAGGTTTTGGCAACATATGCTGCCATCCAGACGACGTCTTTTTCAGGGAAGGCCTTGATTATTTCAGCAAGACGATGTAAAACCACATTCTGCATGTATTACAGCAGCATTGCTCTGTATTAAAAGAGTCTGGGTGCTAAACTGACCTGCCTGCAGTCCAGATCTGTCACCACTGATAACATTTGCGCATTATGAAATGAAAAATACGACAAATGAGCCCCTGAACTGATGAGCAGCTGAAATCCTGTATCAAACAAAAACAGGAAAACATTTCATTTTCTAAACTACAGCAGTGTCTCCTCAGTTCACAACACTTACAGAGTGTTGTTAAAAGAAGAGGTGATGAAACACAGTGGTAAACAGGCCCCCGTCCCAACTTTTATGGAACGTGTTGTTGCCATCAAATTCAAAATGTTCAAATTCAAATATTTTTCAAAAAATAATAAAATTTCAAAAACATTTGATATGTTGTCTTTGTAGTATTTTCCTTTAAAAATATGGTTTACATGATTTACATATCATTGCATTCTGTTTTTATTTACATTTTGCACAGCGTCCCAACATTTTTGGAAATGGGGTTGTAACTAAAAACCCTCCCGGTACAACAAAACTCCTCATACAACAGAAACTCCTCCCCATGCAGGTCGTCACTGGGCTCGTGATCTGTGTCTGTGAGGAAGTTAATCATGGAGGACGAAAAGAAATGCTTAATATCAGCATGTACAGACACGACCGTGCAAAACACACCGCAGATGAAGAGGCTGAACAGATAAACAGTTGTTAATTGGTTGCTGCATAATGAGCGGATTTGCATATTCTGTCCCACAGCAATCGGATTTCAGTCTGACTAACCACAGACGCAGTAGACTGTGCACACACTGTGACTCTACACTGATTGAATTATGTTTAAGTCTTGAAAATAAAGTGGAATTCCCCCTCCAGCAGCACACAAACAGCAGACGCTGAGCTGTTTAAAATTCTACCATGTAGTACTTCGTGCTAACAGCTGTCGTACAACCTTACAGATGTAGCTCTGTAACCGGATTAGAGAGCAGAGAAGTGGTGCGTGAATCGGTTATGAGTGCAGTGACCTTAAAGCCTCTCATCTCTTAATGATGCAACACAACAAGCAGTTTTATTAGTCTGTAGATCATTAATTCGGGACCTCATTGTAGGTGTTCAGGAAGGTTTTACTTCTTTTCTCAATGATTAACACAGGACTTCACTTTTGTTTCCCCTGCTCTGCTTCTGATATTCTAAGCTATGTGTCAGATACTCTATATGGAGAAGAGTATTGGGACACACCAGCTAATCAGTGAATTCAGGTGTTTCATTCAGTCTCTTTGCCACAGGTGTTTAAAATCAAGAACCCAGCCATGCAGCCTGCCTTCACACACATCAGTGAGAGAATTTTAAAGAGCTCACTGAACTCGAGTGTGGTGCTGTAATAGGATGGTGCCACTGTTCAAACAAGTCAGTCTGCAAAATTTCCCCCTCCTAGATTTTCCACGACCAGCTGTGAGTGTATTATTGAAAAGTGGAAGCGTTTAGGACCCACAGCAGCTCAGGAATGAAATGTCAGACCATGTAAAGTAACAGAGCGGGTCGCCGAGTGTTGAGGAGCACAGAGGATAAAAGTCTCCAACGCTCTACTGATCAAACCTCCTCTGGCATCAACATCAGCTCAGAAACTGGCAGGGTTTCCATGGTTGAGCAGCTGCATGCAGGCCTTACATCACCAAGCACAGTGCCAAGCGTCAGCTGGAGTGGTGTAAAGCGCCGCCACTGGACTCTGGAGCAGTGGGAACGCTTCTCTGTCTGTCAGTCTGATGGACGAGTCTGGGTTTGGCGAATGCCAGGAGAACGTTACCTGCCTGACTGCACTGTGCCAGCTGTAGAGTTTGGTGGAGGAGGGATGATGATATGGGGCTGTTTTTCAGGGGTTGGTCTAGAACTCTTAGTTCCAGTGAAGGGAAATCTTAATGACTCAGCACCAAGACATTTTGGACAGTTGTACACTTCCAACTTTGTGTGAACAGTTTGGGGAAGAACCTTTCCTGTTCC